ACATTTCCATTTTTGGAGTTAGAGAAGGATCTACAAGGACAATAAAAAATTGTGGGACTAGGTGTCTTGCACTATACCATTTCTTTCAATTTGCTGAGACTTTATCTGTCTTCAATACCAATGCTTGTCTTGAATATTTTCAGGTAAGTTATCAGAATGATATTTGATTTTATCTATTATGTATTATATTCTTGTTCTCATTAATTACTGTCACCATTATTGCTGTTAATACTAGTATTTACTGAAGAAGTTACCTCATCAACCAAACTATTCATCTAACTTGGATACATCTGAGCGGGTGCTTCAGGTGCTTGCCATCTCACCTATTGCAACAAGAATTTTTGAACAGGTTTCTAGTAAAGATCCAATGAGTGCCAATTACTGGCATGTTCCAATATTGTATGAAGAATTACAGAACAATTTCCGCCTCTCTGACTTGGTACTTTATCTTGTATTTTATATTATATATTCTATGTATACTATTATTTTATCTAACAATCTTCTGCTGTTGCAATTGTTTCAGTCTATGGACATTAAAAAAAGCCAACCTGCATGGATGAGTTACATGCTTTATGTTGGAGGCCTTACTTTTGCAGAAAAGTCACCTGAGAAGCAACTGCAGGTACCAAACCTTATTGCTGCACAACATTTTGCAAATGCTGTTTTGGATCATTATGGGCTGCATGTAAGTGATATTACAAATGCTCTTCAGAAAGTTGTATCAACTGGAGATATCTCAGAATTGCTGGGTTTTTATAATAGAGTAATGATCAAACGTGATGTTGGTGATGATGATCTCAGGAATAAATTAGAAGAACATCATCGTGACAGCTTCAATTATGCTTTGCTCAAAAATGGACTCCTGCAGCCCAATATAGAATTTGAAGTTACTAAGGCAAGTAGATTTTTTCTAAGTGCATGTGATTCATCCGGAAAATATAAAAAAATTTTACACATGTCAATTGTAAGTTTAATAATAAAAATGTGTAAAACTTACGTCAGCACTGTAAGATTTACACAATATTACGTCGGCATCGTAAGATTTATGCAAGTTTACGCTAAATTAATTTCCTGATGTTGTTACAGTCTAGTTAATTGTTTGTTTATATACATCCACAGTCACCCATTACAACTGGATGGATTGATTTGTTGATCAAGACTGTTACAAATCGCATAATTATTACTGAGTGGAAGGTGCTCAGGATCAATTTCATAGACATTCAACCTGCTATATTACAACCTGGTATGAAAAAATCTGTAGAATTTCAAAAAGCATTAACACTAAGCAATATCTCAGATATAACTTCAGTACTTCAACTAAGGATTTCCTCCTATGACAAATTTGGTAGAGGTGGAAAAACAATCCGTGAATGGATTTTGAAGCAGGGTCCAAGTGACCAGTTGATAAATTACAGGGCTAGTCCTGAAATCACTGAACTCCGTAAGACCTACAAGGCTGTTGCTTATCTAGTGGTTATTGTTGGTTCTCGTAAGATTTTGCTCTGGCAGTTGAGCAACAATGGCAAATTTCTGGAGGAACCTCTACTGGTAGACTAATAGTATATAACATAGTATAAATTTTTTCTTATGAATATAATATCTTGCATCAATAAAGCAAATAGTCATCAAATTTATCATTTAAGATACTAATTATACAATTGAGAAGGAAAATTTTTTTTGATTCACAAGTCAAGCTGGTAATAGATTTTTATTTATTTTTGTGAATCCCAGAGACCTGGATAGATGCACAATATATTCCAAAATTGATCCCTGAAAAGGTTTTATTCCTGCATGGTCTTGGTATGATTTATTACCTAGATGATGCAATTTAAATGGTATTTTTTAAAAATTCTTACTTGAATTAATATTATTCAATAATTATCTTTTATTATTTTTTCCAATCATTTAGAATATTTTCTTTTTATTCATTTGTTTATCTATTTTAGAATGATCATTAAATATTTACTTACGTTTTTAGTAATTATAAATAATAATTCTAAAAATAATTGATCTATCTGTTCATCTGTTTTAGTATGATCAGTAAATATTAAGTCATGAAATAATAATTTCAGTGACTCATTTTTTTAGAAATAAATAATAATCAGTTATTTATTTGTTATATATTTTATAAATCATTATGCAGAATTATAGCATATATCCAAATTTTTTAAAAGCATAAGATCATCACAAATGATGATATTCTCACAATTGCTCATAATTTCTACCAATTAAAAATTTGGATATATTTGTAAAACTAAAGATAATATACACATATATGCAAACAATTCTCTTATTTGTATTTCTTTTGTCAAAATTGATATGACTTTTTGCAATAAACTGTATACAGACATGAATTTTCATTATAAAAACTGAACAGACTTGTCATCCATACTTTACTCAACATTAAATAATTTAAATCTAGACAATTATTTTTCATGGAACCAGTTGGGGATTTTTATTTTCTTTTTTATATCAATTATTGAATATACATTTGAAAGATCCACCCAAATTTAATTCTTTCTGCCTACATCTTGTCACCACAGGACTAATCTTAAAATCTTCAATTTTAGAATTATTGAAAAAACTTACAAAGTGAACATAAAATTATATATAGGGATAAGTGTATATGAAAAATAATAAATATAATGGTTCTAATGAATATGAAAAGGCAATCAATTTTTT